ATCCAGGGCTGGTTGCTGCCATGCTTCTGGGAGCTTCCTGGGTCCAGTAGCAGCCACTATCCATGCCTTTTTAGATGGAGACTAATGAGAGCACCTGGGTGTGGTGGTACACACCTTAATCCCAGTCCTGTGGGAGGCTGAGGTAGGAGGATTGCAAATTCAAGACCAGCCTCAGCAACTGAGACGTTTCAAAAGTTAAGGGAAAAAAAAATAGAAAGGACTACAGATGTGACTCAGTGGTAGAACTCCCGGTTCAATCCCCAATACCAAAAAAAAAAACAAAAAGCAGCACTCCAACTGGAGGTGTGCTGCCAGGGCAGCTGTGGGGCAGCAGCACGCACTCCAGGAAGAGCTCAGGAGGCCCGTTACTGCCAGGCACGTCTAGAAAGCTAGCACCACCCTGAGCCTGGGAAGATGACCTGGAGAGAAGGTGTCTGTTCCCATTTTAGTACCAGAAGAGTGTGTCTCGGGAGCTGGAGTGTGGTCTGGGTAGTCCGTCTGCCCTCACGGCTTCCCTCTGTCCCTAGCATCCGGGGTGCCGCAGCTGGTGGAGCCTGTACTCTGGGACTACGGGGCTGACCTGGACATCCACAGTAAGGGTCAGTACCAGGTTGCCTGGGATCTGCCCTCCATGGCCATGCAACAGGATGGGCTATTTCCCCATCCCCTGCAACCCCGTAACGTGGCCCGGTCTGAAGGGATGCAGGGCCCTGTCTGCTTGGCTGACTCGTTTGTGATAGAAGGGCCAGGCACTGCCCCTTGCCTGGGAACAGCCCCAGCAGACCCAGACCTGTGTCCGTCCTCAGCCCTTCACGTATTCTCTTTCTCTACCCAGTTCTCTGACATCTCTTCCAGTAAACTAGAGTCTCCTCTGCTGAAACGAAACCTGGGTCAGACAGCGTGGGGTCTCAGGAAGCGGGTCCTGGCTTTGCGCGGGCTGCTTCCGTGGGAGTGCTCACACTGGGGCTCTCTCACCCAGTCCAACTCATGGAGAAGTACCGGGAGTGCGGCTTCCCACGGCTGTGGGCTGCCAGTGCCTTCAAGGGGGCCACAGGGGCCAGCCAGGCCCTGCCCCACATCGAGCACCACCTCAGGAACCATGCGCAGTGGCTGCAGGTGGCGGGCAGTGGGCCAGCGGACATGCTGCAGGGCATCATCCTGACTGGATGGCAGAGGTGAGCTCCAGGGAGGCCATCCTGGGGTGAGAGGTAGCCCTCCTGCCCCCACAGCTATCCCCCAAGCTGGGGCGCTCCAGGCTGGGAGCACAGCCCCCACTCCACACTTAGTAAGTAAGGCCACTTTGTAGGGGCGTGAGGTCACACTGGGGCACTTTGAGGACTTCACACCATTTGAAAAGTATAGCTACAGAAAAAACCCTGGTCCTTGGACAGAGCCTGGCTCTGCTCCTGACCTGCAGGTTGAGAGCGCAGAAGCCAGGCACACCTGCCAGCAGACTACTGGAAGCAGGGCCATGGGGAGATGTGCTGAGTGGCCGGGCCCTCTGGCTGCCCATGTGTGGCTTATGGTCCAGTACCTATCCAGAAGCTGCCCGTAGGGGGTCGGTCAGCTCCACAGAGCTGCTAGATGGCTCCCACTGAGGCACTGTGAAGATTCCTCAGACACCTGCTGTGCGAATCCTGGGCACCAGGACTGCCACATAGAGCAGAGCCCCCTGGTGTGCATGGACAGTGCCAGGAACTCCATGACATGCAGCATGTAGGTGCAGAGAGCCTGATGAGAGTGTGAGGTCAACATCAGCAGCTGCCTGGCCCCTCCATCTTCCTCCACCTGGCTCCACCCCCCTACAGCCATGTAGCCACACAGCCTAGGAAATAGGCCTGGGCAGGTGGGGGCCTAGGGGTGGAGCACAGGACCAGCTCAAAGGCTGCTGCAGAGGTCTCAGAGAAGGCACTGGGGCTCCGCCCTAGGAGGCAGGAGGAAGGGCCTGGACAGCATCTCAGAGGCGGCCCCTCCAGGCCCTCCCAGAAAGCAGCATGGCAACAGGTCCTGACAAAGGCTCCCACTGCACAGGACTCACTTAGAAACCCCTGGCCAGTGGTGGGAGGGACCCAGCTGCTCCCAAGGGGCCCTGCCTTGAACCCTAGAACAAGCAAACGCTTCTCAGGTCAGGGTGGCTGTGGCCAGGTGGACTGGCTGAGGGCATGGAGCTGAGCCCTCCTCTGGACATAGGTACGACCACTTCTCCGTGCTGTGTGAGCTGCTGCCTGTGGGGATCCCCTCCCTGGCTGCCTGTCTGCAGTTGCTGCTCCATGGTACGTCCTACCCAGCAGCCCCAGCTCTGCCACTCCTCATTTGGGCCTGGACTGTGGTCCTCCATGCAGTGAAGGTTGAACACACAGGGTTGGGGGGCTGGGAAGGGCACTCATAGCTGCCCTGTGATTGGCTCAGGGCTGCCAGTGCCTGGAAGGTAGGCAGGATGGGTCCCTCAGACTCAGCCCTCAAGTGGGATGGGGAAGAAGGTCCCACCTTCACTACATACGTGTCCTGAGAGCCATGAGGTAGGCTATGCAGGACCCTGCTCTCTACACCTGACCCCTCTGAGGGAGCAGCTGGCCCAGACCACAGCAGGCAAGTGCAGCAACCTATGGAGACCCTGTCCCAAAATAAGGACTGGAGATACAGCTCAGGGTGCTCGGTTTAGTCCCCGGTACCAGGAACACAAGCAGAGTCTGGGAGCATTTCTCAGGTGCCTGGAGCCTCTTTGGACACACCACTGTTGAGCAAGCTGCAGGTGCTGGGGCTGCCAGCATCACCATGCTTGCTGCTCTGTCTTGATCTTTAAAATAGCATCCAGCCAGATGCTGTGGCCATACCTGTAACCTCAGCAATTGGAAGGCTGAGGCAGGAGAAAAAAAGCCGGGGCTGGGGCTGTAGCTCAGTGGTAGACCACCCGTCTCGCACATGTGAGGCATTGGATTCGATCCTCAGCACCACATAAAAATATTGTGTCCATCTACAAAAAAAAATAGTTAAAAAAAAAAAAAGAAGAAGAAGGTGGGGTACAGCCCAGTGGTAAAGCATCCCTGGGCTCCCCAGTACTGGAATAACAATAATAGTAACAAACACCTTTCTTGTGTTGAATGAGTAACTGCCAAGTTGCCCACCCTGGGGAGACCTGGGTCAGCCTGTGCAGGTGGGGTCTGACAGGTTCCAGCACTGCTGTGCCTGCTATCCAGGGACAGGGGCCTGGAGACCCACATGCAGATGGTGAGCCTGGCAGGGAGCAGGCCCCTCTGAGCACTGTGCCTGTGGCTGGTTCCAGGAGGATTCACTGAGCACGTGAGACTGAGGGTGGAGAACCTCCTTGGGCTTCCCAGCCTGGAAGCCGCAGCTATCCCGAGGTACCTCCGCCCCGCCCTCCCCTCCCCTCCCTGCCCGTCCCTGGGGACCACTGTCTCAGAGTGGCTCTCTGGCAGTGAGGGGACCAGCTCCTTCCCTGGCAGTGACATTCATGCCCTCGTGACTCAAGTCAGCTTCTACCTGCGCAGTTCTGTGGACGCACTGCTAGAGAGGAACAGGTGAGTGCCTCAGTGAGCAGACCCCACCAGTCTTGTCCCTCATAAAGGCTTTCTGGAAGGAAACATGACTTCCAATTTTCCCTGCCAGATTCTAGAGCTATCCAGGGGTGTGTGACTGTGCAGCCCCAAGCTTGCCAGTTGGCACCCCTGAGAACACCCCTGTGTGGACTCACCCCAGGTACGTCACTGGCTGGTTCAGCCCCTACCATCGCAGGCGGAAGCTCATCCACCCGGTCATGGTCCAGCACATCCAGCCTGAGGTGCTCAGGTAACCCCTGTGTAGCTAGCCAAGTGCCTGGCCCCAGAGCAGCTGTCCCCTATATGTGGCAGTGCCCACAGTAACCAACGTTGAGCTGAGACGAGCTTTCCAGAAGCTGTACCCCTGGATCTTGGATGACTCACGTGTACTGTCCTTCCCTAACATCCAGGCAAGGTGGTGCACACCTGTAATCCCAGTGGCTTGGGAAGCTGAGGCAGGAGGGTCTTCAGTTCAGAGCTAGCCTCAGCAACTTAGCAAGGCCCTGAGCAACTCAGTGAGACCCTGTCTCTAAATAAAATATAAAAAGGGTGGGGATGTCGCTCAGTGGTTAAGCATTAAGCATCCCTAGATTCAATCCCTGGTACAAAATAAAGCTAGGTTATCCCTAGCCTAAAAGCCTGGGCAGGACCATAGGTCATCTTTGGAAGTCAGGCCACCTTACTCCATCCTGGCCCTGGAGAGGGCCCTTGTGTCCAGAGTCCCCTCTGCCCTCCTGTCCTTCCCTGGCTCAGGGATGTGAGCAGAGCCTAACAGACCCTCCTACACTGCACAAGACACTACCAGCTACACCACCTGCTCACACTCGATGGGAAAAACCATCAGCCAGCTGAACAGCAGGCTCCAGTTTCAGACGTTAAAATGTGGCCAATCTCTACTTGTCTCTATGAATAAACAGACACGGGGCAGTGCACCCCTGGGGCTGTTGCAGGGGTCCTTGGCAAGCAAGCTCAGGTCCGTCTTCCTCAGCCTCCTGGGCAGGTGGAGTGCCCTGGTACAGCAGCTGGAGACAGCCCTGCAGCTCGCCTTCTACCCAGACGCTGTGGAGGAGTGGTTGGAGGAGAACGTGCGCCCAAGCATGCAGCAACTGCAGGACCTACTACAGGACCTCAGCGAGGCGGCCACCACCGGCCCCTGCCCACCAGCCCTGGCTGGGACACTGGTTGGGACTGCCGAGGGGCAGGGTCCACAGGAGGGCTGAGGGCCCCTGCCACAGGCTAAGGCACTATGCTGTCCCTGTGGCCTCCTGTTTCCATACCCTGCTGAGCCCTGGGCAGCTGTGCAGACCAAGCACCCTCATAGCACAGCTGTCTTTGGGAAAATCATGGACACCAGGGAAAGCAGGGGCTGTTCACCACGTGCACGTGGAACCTCACCATTCTGAAATAAAAGGGCAGCAGGAGCCAGAGTCCCCCGACACATCAGAATCCAACTTTTTATCCCACTCTGGTTACAGCTGGCTTTGTTCCTCCAACACTAAAGACGAGCCCCAGTTCTGGGTGCTTCTCATTTACAAGCTTCACAAGCTGCCAGAACATATTGCCGCACTTTGCATATTTCATTTTAGGGAAAATTTACAACATCTCAGACTTGACCGCTGAAAACACCAACTTTGGCCTAAAGGACCACGACCCCAGCTGGGGCTGGTGGGCAGGAGCACCTGCCCTGCTTCCACTGGAGGTACCGGCGTGACTGCCCTGTCTGGCCTAGGAGCCTCCGGCCCCAGCACCTGAGTGGTGCTGTGGCTTCTCCAACCTGATCACACCTAGGGGCACAGCCCCGTGGGGCTGACCGGAGCCCTGGAGGCCAAGCTCGGCACTTGGAAGGACCTGGATCCACTCACAAGGTGGACCAGGCAGGGGCAGGTCAGTGGCAGCTGGCACTTGGCTTCTGTGGGGAACAGCTGATGCCCTCCCGCGGGTCTTCAGGACTTGAGTGACTGGGATTGGGTCCCTGTGGAACAGCTGTCAGTTTCCAAGTGCTGCAGGATGCCGTAACAGGTGACCTCTGTTCTAGGCACATGGCTTCTGCCTGGGAGGTGAGGGCCCAGAGGGAGGACTACTGTGATGGCTGACGACACTCTTGAGTCCTGCGAGGCTAAGGCCAGCACCCCGCTGGAGCCCGTGCCTGTCCTGCCTCAGCTCTGGCCGCCAGGGCTGTCAGCCTCACTGTCGCTGCTCTGAGACCGTTCCGAAGGGCTCTCCAGGCGGTGCAGCTCCAGGAAGTTGGTGACGAGCCTGGCTACAGCTTCCACGTCACTGAGAGGCAGGTACCAAGAGGAAAGGCAGGTCACCATGGCATATGCATCCTCAAGACCCTGCGCTGGCCTCATCCCCTGCTATCCAAATACTGCAGTTCCCAAACTGGACCCCTCACCCTCCCCTGCCACATTCTGTGCTTTCCCTGCAGATGCCATGCAGGGCTCCCTTCAAACATGCACAGCCCCCCACAATTGTGCTTCCTCTGAAAACCTGTGTCCCACCCCCTGTGCCCCAAGACACTGGGTGGTAAATGAGAGATCAAGGTCGTGCCCAAAGCGGGCCCCACCCCGCCTACCTGCGACGGCCCATGACTGCACTCTGGGTGAGGGGATGGGAGAAGCCTGTGGCAAACCGGAGCACCACCATGTAGCCCTTCCCAAAATACCGGACCTTCTCCTCCTCCACATTCACATCCCGGATGTCATTTAGCAGGACCACCACTGGAGAGGTGCAAAGATCAGTGGTCATGTACCCCTCCCTACCCAACTCCTCCTGCCTATGCTGTGGGCATGGTCGCTTTGGAGCCATTAGCTCTGCTGAGAACAGTCACAGTGGCACTGGTGGCAGAAGTACCCTAGGCCTGATTCCAAAGCATCAGCTGGGTAAGAAAGACAAGCTCAAGCCAGGCATGGTGGTACTCGCCTGTAATACCAGCAACTCAAGAGTATGAGGCAAGAGGGTCTCAAGTTTGAGATCAGCCTCAGCAACTTAGTGAGACCCTGTCTCAAAATAAAAAAAAAAAAAGGACTGGGACTGTGGCTCAGTGGTGGAGCACCGGGGCTCAATTTCTCATATTGGGGGGTGGGGGCAGACAAGCTCAACAGACACATGTCATGAGCTACTGGGCCCAGTGTGAAAGCTGGCCTTCCCACAATCTGACAGCAGAATCCCTAGCTAAGGTTTCAATTTCCCCCAAGGCTGAAAAACTGCTAGCCATCACAGTGCAGTGTCCCATCTGCAAGGAGTGGGACAACTGTGCAAGGCTCCTAGCCACAATCCACCAAGAAGCCCAACAGCATACCACTACCCCAGCCTGCTAGGCAGGTCTGGTCCTCATCTGTCCAGCTTGGGGGCCACAAACAGGCTAAGGTGCCACCCAGATCAGGAGAAGCCAGCAGCACCCAGGGCCTGACCCCTCACAAGGTACTCACCAGCCAATGAACTCTTGTACGTGCAACCACCTATTCATCGGTAGTGGGCAGCAGATGACCAGATGCACAGTGCACAGCACACAGCACACTTAGGGGAACTCTTCACTAACCCACAATGGGAGCAGCTCCCGAACCCAGAAGTTCAAGGGTAAGCAACTCCCTGACTGTCCAGACCCTCAACACAGGCCTGGCAGAGCCAATGGGGAACTGAAATCAGGAGGCCCTCTGAGAGCAGAAAGGATCTTGTCAGCTGCAGAGCCACCTGCTCACTGGTACAGCTCAGCCTGCCTGCATCATGACCTACCCGCACTGCCCAGACTGACCTGGGAAGAGCCACTAAGGGGTGGCCATCCTCCCCAACAGTCCAAGCCTTGAGAACCATGAGTCCTCAGAACACAGGGCCTGCCTGGGCCCCACACCCTGTGGGCCAGGGCATGGTTGAGGAGCCCAGCTGCAGAGTGAGGTGTGCTTGGCCCCTCAGGCCTGCGCATGCCCGACTCCCCCGCCTCACCTTGGTCATGGCCTGCTCTGAGAAGAGTCAGCAGCTTCCTGTAGAGGCTGAATGTTTTCAGAACCACCTTCCCGGTGCTCTTGTTGAAGATGGCTTCCTGGAAACACGTACCTTCACCACACAGACCTCCAGGGAGGGGTCAAATGGGCACTATCCCACCCATACTGATGTGGATGCTCAAGAGGAGACCCTTGAGCAAAACCCAAACCCCAGATGCCTGAGCCCAGTGTCTGCGGTCCACTCTCTGGACTCATGCCATGCAGGAATCATAGTAGGAAAACAGCGGGTGGAGGAGGCACCCATTCCAGGACAAGAGGACAGCCTAGTGGCAGGGCCATCAAGAAGGCAGAGGTCAAGAGCAGCCTGGGTTGGGGCTGGAGTTGGGGCTGGGGTTGTGGCTCAAGTGGTAGCACGCTCGCTTAGCATGCGTGAGGCACTGGGTTCAATTCTCAGCACCACATAGAAACAAGATATTGTGTTCACCTAAAACTAAAAAACAAATATTTTAAAAAAAAGAGCATCCTGGGACCAAGTGGCTTTGAGGACCCCGGAGGGCTGAAGAGCAGGGGGTTCACACCCTCTGTGCCACAGCAACCCCAGAGGTAACGGTTGTTTCCTTAGTGGAAACAGTCACTGGGAAGCTTCTAGAGACTTCCTGGCCCAGGGATGGTCTCAAGCAACATCCAGGGCCTGTGTCCAGCTAAATGGACACCTTTATGCCAGTCAAACATGCTTTCTCCAGAGAGGGGCACTCTGCCACCCTCACCCACATCTTACCTCCCAGTCTTCCAAGTTCTGCACAGCCACAAACAGGCAGCCTGTGACATAGAAGAGCTTCCAGCCCAGGCTATCTGTAGGCAGACACAGGACACCCACCATAAGTGATGGGCCAAAGCTACGGAACCAGGTGGGTACAGAGGCACACACCTGTAATCCCAGCGGCTCAGGAGGCAGAGGCAGGAGGATCCCGAGTTCAAAGCCAGCCTTAGCATTTAGCAAGGCGCTAAGCAACTCAGCGAGACCCTGTGTCTAAATAAAATGCAAAACAGGGCTGGAGATGTGGCTCAGTGGTCAAGTGTTCCTGAGTTTAATCCCTGATACCCCACCCCCCACAAAAAAAGCTATGCAACCACAGGGAGCCCTGCCTGGCATGACCTTTCCCCAGACACTGACTGCCCTGTGAGAACCCAGGCAGCCAGCTGTGCTGCTGGTTTTATCTTGGTTACTCGGGACTTGCACATGACAAGCCTTCTCAGCTCTGGGGAAGCATGCAGGGCCCAGCTCCTGTTCATCTTGGCAAACTTCTAAGAGTGGGAAGGTGGGAAACACAGATCCTCAATGCAGCACCTTGGGCAAATGCTAAAGAGCTCTTTTGAAGATTTTTTTTTTTTTTTTTTTTTTTTTTTGGTGTGTATGGGGGTATTGGGGATTGAACTCAGGGGCACTCGACCATTGAGCCACATCTCCAGTGTATTTTATTTAGGGACAGGGTCTCAATGAGTTGCTGAGTGCCTCACAGTTGCTAAGGCTGGCTTTGAACTTGCGATCCTCCTGCCTCAGCCTCCCAAGCGCTGGGATTACAGGCGTGGGCCACAGTGCCTAGCTGGAAGACTATTTTATGACACAGGAAAATGCCTGAGGTTTGACATGCAAGATGCAGGCCACATGGGGTGCACACATCAGTGCAGGCAGGTAGCACAGGTAGCACTGCACAGGGTGAGGAGGCAGAGATGCTGGCCATGCCCAAGGCCACACCACAAATACACACATGAAATTTTTTTTCCTCCTTATTTTCCAAACAGTTGAAGTTACAAGGGATGGTGTACTTTACCTCCACTGTAGTAAGCAGCAGCCAGGCCAGTTGACAAGATTCCTGCAGAGAGGAACAAGGAGTACCTTACAATAGAGCCAGTGAGAGTCCCACTCTCTCTCCCAATGCTGCAGCCCCTGCCAGCCCAGCCAGTGTGCCCTCTCCACTGTGCACTGGTACAACAGGAAGAGTCCACCAAGTACAGAGTGGAGGAACAGCCCAATGTTCATTTAAAAACACAGTATAGGCCAGGCACAGTGGCCACATGCCTGCAATCCCAGCTTCCCAGGAAGGCTGAAGCAGGAGGATGGCAAATTCCAGGCCAGGCTAGGCAACTTAGCAAGAATGTCCTAAAATTTTAAAGTGGGAAAGGATGGGGATGTACTCAGAAGAATAACCCTAGGCTCAATTCCCCATTAGCACAAAAAAAAAAAAAAAAAAAAAAAAAAAACACGAAAATATGGTGACTTAAGAAAAGCACTACCCAGCTGGGGCTGCAGTGACAGAACACCTGCGCAGAAGACACACGGCACTAGGTTCCATCCCCAGAACCACAAAAGAAGACAGGGGACAGGGTAGAATTAGGAAGGAAGAACACAGTCCTAATGAAGCAGACGTGCACCTCCCAAAGTGGGCGGGGAAAACCTAACAACAGGCAAAGACAGCTGGTACTTTTGAGGGCAGAAAAAAAGAGGAAATAGTTTCATTTTCACCCTTTTTTTAGTCTTTCTGTTCTGGGGGAATTTATAAAGCCTTACCGACCAAGAGGGACCAGGACCGGATGCCCGGAGCCCTCTTCAGATGGAGGCAGGAGTTGGTGCGAGTCTCTACCTGCATGTACATCCCTGGAACACGGCTCCACGCCACAGGAGCGGGCTGGGGAAGGGGAGTCATGAGGCTGCCACGCCACAGCCGGGACCCAGGCGGCCCGCGGGCACCGACCGCCGGAT